GTGTTTTGCGTAGTCAAGTCGCAACTGACTTACAGTGACCCTAGTAGGGTTTTCAAGGTGAGATATTTTAAGGAGTGGTTTGACCAGTTCCACTCCCCCCAGTGAGCATCCATGGCTGGGCAGGGATTTGAACCCTGTTCTCCAGAGTCCTAGTCCACCACTCTAGCCACATCAACACACTGGGAATCCCAAAATACTTCTGTGGAAATGTATTAATTTTAAATATCACAATGCTACTAAGAAAAGCAAGTCCAAAACCACAGAGGAAACGTTGTACACAGCAGAGTTTTAAAGCGCTTACGCCAAAGCGTTGAGTCCAGCTCCTTATTCATGAAATATTGTAACTGTACACAATAGATACGAGAAGCAAAAGAAGGCTTGTTAAACAAGAGTTCGCTAAGGGTTTCTATTCCACCCACCCTCGCATGGCCATTTCCACCTCACCTGCCAATCACTCAAGTGGCCATCCTCCATCTCAGTGCGCCGCCTCTCCTCCAGGAAACCCTTTGCTAACAACGTGCTCCCAACCCGCATCCCACATGAGCCTCTTCCCCTTCTCTGATGTTCACAGCAGGTAACAATCCTGACACTTCTGCTTGGATAGGCCTGGAACGGGGGTGGGTGGGCAGCACGCTTATTTAGCTACACTATATTCACTGAATATACATTTCAGCACAGAAAAGGGAGGTAAAATTAAATAAAAGAATAATACTAAAAAAACATTCAATTCAAGAAATCAGATCACCTCTGACATGCAAACTGAAATGAAATGAGATCCTAGAAGATAAAGCAACAGAAAAGTTCAGAAAGCAGAAAAACTCATCAGCTAAGAAAATCCTCAGGAATTGTTTCGCTGTTGTGTCTTATGTCAGAATGACCATGATGCTGTGGGGAAGGTACAAGCCGTTCCCCATCCACACGTTTCTTCTAATACACAACTTCTCCCTGAGTCAACGTCCAGCATCTTGAGCTTCTTTTGCTAACCATTTTAGAGGGAACAAAATATTAGCCTGTCTGTATTAACGTGTGACCTTCGTGGCCGGGCTAAACCCGTCATTCCCATTTAAGCTTAGATGCTTCCTTGGCCTGTCCAGGCAAGCTAAGAGCTCTGCACGCTCAGGGGGTCAAAGACTGCCCAACTCACTAGGAGTGGGTCCCTCTATGGAGATCAACTTGTGATGTCCTGTTTCTTGCATGCTGTGGTCAGGCTGGTGGCAAAAAGAGAATTTGTCCATTTTCAGTGGTGGCATGGAAGCATCCACTCACCCATGTGGACTGGCGTTGCAAAGGGTTGATATTGTAGAGGGTGAGGTCTAGGGACTGTTATTTATATCCTACAATCCCCTGCGTGTGCCTGTGAACATACCCTTCGGACGAAGTGGAATACAAATATATGAGTACTAAAGGGAACCTCGTTCAGCACTTGGTGTTCCTGAGCTTGTATTAACTCTAAGAGACCGAGAGGCCGTTTTTCATGATCAATCCCAATGGGATTTTTGTTCAGCTGCTTTTTCCATTGAGGTTTGATGTGGGCAAGCAGCCTGAGAAGAATGCCAGGGCCATTCTTTATGGTGGATTAGTTCAAGCCAGATAAGCACAAGGCAAAATTATCCCTCCCCCAGCCTGAAACGTAACCACTGCGCACGTAATGCACTTCATGCACGGAAAAAAAGATAGGAAATCAAAGCAAGAAGCCATGTTCCAATTTGTAATGCATGTCCGTACTGTACTTGCCTGGCTTTTCTGACAGTTCCATCTAATTTTTTTTCCAGATGACAGCATTCAATAATGGATGCAAGCTGCCTCTTATTACTTGTGTTTTCTTTATATAACTGCTCAATGACAATAAAAATTCTGAAATCTTGTGGGTTTTCACAGAGGGAAAAGAATGCGAGACAAGCAAGGGATTGTGGGTTAAACCAGCCTGAGACTCGTCTTAAGGTTCTTAGGCTGCGATTCAACTGGCAGTCCCAAGCAGAGTAAACCTATCAAAGAACAGAGTTTACAAAAGATCATTTATATTTGGGCATGACATTCTAGCATTCTACGTGGCTGTCACAGAGGCTGGACCCTTTGGGGGACACAGTCTGGACCAGCTGCCATTTGGCTCATCTTTACTGCAAGAGTGTTCCCATGCAACAGCTGGGGAAGCTTCCTGTGGCCATTCCCCAGCAATCTTTGAAACTCCAGGATAGATAAGGCTGGTGGGCTAACCCAAGCTCCCTAACCTATCCGAGGAAGGGTCTAGAGATTTGCATGGCGCGAAAAGCCAACACAGAACGTCCTATGACATAGGGCAGCTTCTTCGCCTGGGCTCTGCTTCCTTCTTTCTTCTCACTCTCTTCTCCCTAGCGTGTCTTGAGTTTGTATCTCAACTGCAAGCCAGCCATGCACAGAAAGCCTAGATTTCCATACAACATCTAGCACTTTTCAGCTCCTGATAACCACAGATATTGGACAAGCAAATGTAGCTTGTGAGCTTGAAACGACCTTTGGGTTTCCAGGGTGGAAATCCTATTGCATGAATTACACAGTCTAAGGCTCATGACATCATAAGCAGCAGCAATTTTTTCAGAAACAAAGCATGTCCAATTTCTTTTCCAAAGGTCCTAGATTTCTGCTACTTTTTTTGGAAACCCTCTTTATTATCGAAACGCTGCTCGAGCCACAGGACAGGAAGTCTTTGATGGCTGGAAATTGCCACTGCTTGTGAAGTCATGAAGATGATTTGAGTTATTTGGTAAAGACTTCTTTCTCCCAATATGGGTTCCAACTGCTTCCTGACAATGAAAGCGAGTCCACAGGACCATTTCTTCTTCTTCTTTTTTGGTGGTGGTGGTGGGGAAGTATTGGAGATGTTTTATTTCCCAGAAATTACCGTAACAGATGACACAATCAGCCTTATGTGGTATAAGTTACGGTAGCAGGATTTCAGTCATGGGAAGCCTCTCCTGTCACGGAGCACCAGGATACTTACCCAGCACGCGTTCAATTTGCTTTCAGACGGTTAGACAGCTGGACTCAGGCTCTTACTTTGATGGGAGGGCCCCAGGAAAGACCACAGGCATTCTTCCAACAAACGTATGAAACCATATGTTAGCCTGAAACCCTGGACAGACATAGGTGACAACGCGGGCTTCGAATGACCAAGGGCCTGAAATGTCCCGATGTTCCTACTCAGTACAAAAGGGAAAGTGACTAGAATCACTTAAAATGTCTGCAAAACACATCGTTTGGACATCTGGAAGCAAGACATAGAAAATATTGCTATGTCTTGTCTCACACCAGCCTACCAGCAGGCAGAGGTGTTACTTTGTTCAATGAGATCCCTCTCATTGCACACATTTTTTTTGCTTCCATTTCCATGTAATTTGTACTTCAGGGGCTTGAAATAAAGGCAATGCACTCACGATAACCTAAGGTCCCTAAGTGTAGGCCTAATACTTAAAAAAAAAGATGTTTAAAGGGTTGATCACTTCATTTTTGGAGTAAAAGGGTAATTTAGAGTCAAATTAAAAGTGGGGACAGATCCTCTTGCTACAATCACCACTGGAATGGCAAACTAGAATCAAAGGTTCTAACCTGAAATGGCCTGTATTCTATCACAAAAGTCCGGTGGTCCTACAACGCAGGCTAATATTGTAACATTTATTTAAAATATTTTTACCCCACCTCTCTCCTTGAAAAGGCCCCAAGACAGCTTACAACCGTGAAAGACAACATTGTCAGTTGAAAACAATGAATACCTACAGCTAGATTTCCGCTACTTTTTCAAAAAAAGAGAGAATTGGCATGTTTCAGGTTAATAAAACGTATTTGTTTTCCATCTTGAAGAAAACAAACCCTTTGGGGTTTCTTTCTCCTCACCTGCCTAAATGTTATTTGCCTTTAAAAGTCTAATCCACACCAGATATGTCCTTCTTAAGCATAGATGGAGATAATCCAGGCATATTAAATAAAATAAATAATATCTTTTTTTTCTCCCCATCCCCAAATATTTCAAAATGTGCAAAACATGATATAATAGACACCTGTGTCATGGAAGCTCCTTCATGTTAATTTAGAGAGCAACCATTCACCACAAAAATGTTTGGATTACAGAGGTGCACTTGATTTTCCCTCCAGGGCAGTACCCCAAATAGTACGGTCTTCACAAAGCAAGGAATCTAAATACTCTGTTTTGATGAGTCATGGCCCCAATGTCTATGCCACACTGAAATAAAGCCCTGGGCAAATTCAACTTTTAGAATGGTCCATACCTAGAGATATACTTTCATATTTGAATCTGTATTACTAGGAGAGCAATGACTAACGTAAAATATGCTGGTGTACGGCTCCAACACTGGCATTTTAAAGTAAAAGAGCAGAGTGCTTTCTCCAATTGCTTGAGATCGTGGTTTGCAGCACACGCGCACCCATGCAAAGTTCCAGCAAACAGCACCAAAGGCAGTTACAGATACTTTGGCCGAGTTAAAAGAACAAGGATCCCTTCGTTCAGCTAACACGTGATCTATGGAAATATTAAACCTCTAAAGACGATGTTGAGTCACCGGCATTTTTATTTTCCGCATTTCTGAACTGCAACTAACTTCTAGCTACAAAACTGCCAGAGAGGAAATCTGGGCTCCTCCAATCCCCCCCAAAAGGAGCTGGACTTTGCAATTTAAGAAGGGAAAGGGGGGGGAGGAAGGAGGCGGCGAGTCGAGAAAAGATCCCTTCCCTGGCAAACCGAGCGCCCAGGAAAAGGTCACAGGACAGGCATACTTGCCCGGAGAGAGGCTGCTCACTGACCAAGTAGGAGAGGAAGGGATCCTTAGCTCACAGACAGGAACTTGGCAGAAGGAACAGCCTGTTTTAAAGAAAAGAGAGGCAGAAGTTGGGCTTTTCCTCCTCATCTGTCTTCTTCCTTGGATTTCTGCTTTGCATGAGGCTAGAAGAGAGAGAGAGAGAGAGAGAGGCGGAGGGAGGGGAGAGGAGGGGAAGGGAGAGCCCTTTTCTACCTTTCTTGGCTTTGGGCGAGTTCCGCTTGCTGCGGTGGTGGTGGCTGGCTCTCTCTTCCTCGAGGGCAGCGGCTATGGCTGGGTTGTCTTCCCCATTGTACCACACCAGGAGCTCTTCGCCCGGCTCGATTGGCTAAAAGGGAGGCAAACAAGAGACAAAAAAACAGGGACGCCAATCAGACCGGAGGTGGTCAATTTAAAAAAAAAGAGAGAGAGACACAGAGAGAGAGAGAGACAGCGAGAGAGGGAAGCAGGCCAGAGGGCGGGGGAGCCCAGGCCCGACGGCAAACAGCTGTACTCTGCACTAGGAAGAGATTTCCTGCCTGCCTGGCCTGGCCTGGCCCGGCCAAACAGGAAGGACTCTTTAACCCTTGCACCGCTTGGGCGAGCAGAAGGAGCGGCGCCCGCCCGCCAGCCCGCGTCACACCGAGACAGAGAGCGAGCGAGCGAGCCAGAGAGGGAGGGAAGGCAAGGGAAAAGGCACAGCCAACGAGGACGGCGCCCTCTGCTGGATGGAGGACCACATCTGCCCCCCCCCCCAGCAAACCCCTATGACTTGCAGGTTTATACCAATTCAACTCTGCAGCGTTGGGGGGAAAGAGAGCTTTATAGAAGGTCAATGGGGGGGGGGGAGAGAGAGGGAGAGAGAGAGAGATTTTCATTCAAACTCCTGGACCTTTAAGAGCACAAAAAGGGACATATCAATGGATACGGTCCCTAGGCTGATGGCCAGCAACGGAAATGCAGCCGGCTTAGTTCACCTCGCACATACTGTACTTGGGTCGCTTTCTGTCTAAAAAGAGGGCCACCTGAAACTGCTGGTCGAGATTACACCCCCCCCCCCAAAAAAAATCCAGTACAAAAAGAGTCAGGCCCATCAGAATCAACATGATGTAGATCTCCCCTGCCCGCGCTCCTCCAAAAGAACGCGCAATACTCAAGGAGGCTTGCGTGGAAGGAAAATAAAACACTACCTGAGTGTCTTCAGAACCAAGAAGGCTCTTGGGGGGGGGGAGGTACAGGTGTAGAGGGCTTGATAGGGAATGGCCAGCACTTTGAACTGGGCCCGGAAACGGACTGGTAGCCAGTGGAAGTGTTCGAGGAGGGGCATTTTATGCTCCCTATACAGTAACTGGCCCCAATCAAGAGTAGCAGATGTTTCTGAACCATCTTCAAAGGTTCGAGTGTGTTACAGTAATCCAAGCAGGAGGTAACAAAGGCATGTGTCAGTGTAGCCAAATCAGAAAACTCAAGGAACAGTTGACACCCTAGAGTTTTAACTAGTTTAGGTATCTGGCTGTGTAGTTCAATTCCCCAGCCCTCGATGAGGCTTGATGATCCCCAGGGTCCCTCCCAGCTCTGCCGTTCCAAGATTTTAACTGTGCAAAGGGGGGAGTGTCAGCCCATCTAACACAGGTGGTATCCCTATTCCTTGATCGGCCTTCCAGCCAACCAGAAGCACCTCGGTCTTGTCTGGATTAAGTTTCCGTTGGTGTGCCCTCCTCCAGCCCATGACGGATGCCAAGCCCTGGTTGAGAACCAAGAGAGCTCCCTTGGAATCAGACGGGAAGGCGAGACAGAGCTGGGTGTCATCCAGATACTGGTGACCCTGAGTCCCAAAACTCCAGACAGCCTCTCCCAGAGGTTTCATGGGGAACAAAGCAGAACCCTGAGGGATCCCACAGGGTGTTGGAACAGTCAGGGTCTTAAACAGGAGCCCCCACCCCCCGTCTTCTGAATTCTCCCTTCCAGGAAGGATCGGAGCCACTACGAAACAGGGCCTCCAGGTCCCATCCTGGAGAGATGGGCCAAAAGAACACCATGGTTGACGGTACTGAAAGCCCCTGGAGAGGTCCAGCAGAACCAAGAGGGACACTCCCCCTGTCCAGTTCCTGGTGTAGGCCATCCACCAAGGCCACCAAAGCAGTCTCTATCCCATAATTAGGCCTGAAACCAGACTGAAATGGATCTAGAGTCTAGATAATCCACTTCCTCCAGGAACCCTTGGAGTCGAGAAACTACCACACGCTTTCCCCAGAAATGGAGCCTTTGAAACTGGCCGAGAGTTACCCAGTCAAGTGGGATTCAAGGACGGCTTGTTCAGTTATGGTTTTACTACATTTGGTGACATTCAACAGACTTTGACTACTTTCAATCAGTGAAACATACTGTGGTAAACAACCTATTTTCTGATCAAATACCATCAAACCTTTTCAGTTCCTTGATTTAGCATTTAAAATTATGTTGACATACACTTAAAGTTTTTTTTAATGAATAAAACACAGATAAAAATGAGGCGTAGAATCATAGAATAATTGAGTTGGAAGGGGCCTATAAGGCCACCCAGTCCAACCCTCTGCTCCTTACATTCAATGGAAGAAAAAAATGCTTTGCACGCATAAAGTCTCAGCCTCAATGTGCAGCAATTACTTCCATTGGCATAGTGAAAGGTTCTCCCTTCCTTCTCCTGAACCAGAGGGGTTCTTGGACCCAAATGGCAGAGCACCTGCTTTGTAGGCAGATCATCTGGTTCCAGTCCTTGACAACTTGCATGGGCCTTCTTTCTGAAACCTTGGAAAATGGCTTCCAGACCGTAAAGCCGATAATTTTATTGAATAAATAATCTGGAGATCTGGTTACACAAGCCTACTATGTCAGCATGCGTAGTTCAGGCAAATAGAACAATGTGCTGCTGAACCATAGCAAAGGCATGTGGTTTTTATTCTGGTACAAAATCTGCCCCGATAAAACAATGGTTTGATCCAATATAGAGAAGTTTTTTGGTGCCTTTGCCTGAGATTGCAAAAGTCAGCTATAGTCAGAATGAATAATATAAGACTGAACAGACAGTATACAGTAGTATAAAGCACCTGTTTGCTTTCTAAGGTGAGATGTCAATAAATGACATCCAGAGAATATCCTTTTCTTAACAATACATTCAGCACTTGAGGAAGGGAATTTATTCACAAAAGCTTGCACTGAATGTTTCAGAACTGGGTGCAAAATTACTCATCTTACAACTCACCTGGCAATGGTTCCCAATCTTGGGTCCCCCAATTTCTTGGACTTAAAACTTCCAGAAGCCTTCACTACAAGCTCTGCTGGTCAGGATTTTTGGGAGTTACAGTCCAAGAACATCTGGGGACCCAAGGTGGAGAACCTCAATATTGGAGGAACAAAGATTCACCACTGATGTTTCAAATTACGTGGCGGTTACATGGAATGCTCTGAGGTTCCACTCAGTATAGTTGACATTTTGAATACTGAGGTAACCCATCTCCATTTAGTATACTCTGGACATGATGGGCTTCTATGAAAATAAGGTGACATTCTGCCCATGTTCCTCTTTAGTGGTAAGACAGCCCTTTCTTGGTCATATCCATGAGAATCCACCTGTCCCGAGATCAATGGTAGCAATAACTCCAACTGAGAAGCCCTCGGTCCCAGATGATTGATGGGCATCACTCAGCTGGGGCTGAGGCAACCACCTATCCTTTGATAGGTGGTCGCCACTGTTTATGGCCAGCCTTTGTAGCAATGTGGATTCTGGGTAATGTAGAAAGACCCTTCCTTGAATCAAAGCCAGTGAAATCCATCACTATAGTGAGTTTCACCTGATGAGCAAGCTCAGTCCTCCTGTGCTCACTACCATTCACAAAACAGCCATCACAACTGCTTTGTGTCTAGGTGAGAAGTGATTAATTGATGAAAAAAAGAAGCCAGCTTCCGGGATTTTCCCTTGCATGGTGTCACTTTGTGGATGGTGGTGAGCAGAAGAGGGGATCCCGTAGAGACCCTCTAGACTGCTGCCATGGGTGTTGTCAACACCCAGGCTGCCCTTTGCTATGTCAAGCTTGGCATCCTTTTTCCTACTGGAAACACAGGTATGATATTGTGCAGCAATCTTGGGCCATTTCCTGACATTCCGAATTGCGGGTACAGACACACAATATCCCACATTCAAAGAACGGAGGTTTTTAAAAGAATGGAACAGAATGAGAGGCAGAGGTTTGTACTGGAAATTTCTTGCTTGGTAAGCAGGCTTGTAAACAAGGTGAATGGGGATGCTAAGGTTCACTTTGGTGAAATTCAGAAGGTTCAAAGGTCCTCGGCCTGCAGAGCTTCCAGAACTGTCAGGAGCATTTCCATTTGAAAGTGGTGTCTCCTTACAAATTGCCTGACTGTCTTTGAATCCAGTATCACCCCAATGTCTTGTTTGTTCCAGGGTGAGGAATGCTGAGTAGCACTCTGAATTCTTCTGTGATGACGGGAAGGCACCTATTGAGCTGATAACCAGAATGTGCCGGATTGCTTAGAGGAGTAAGGAGTGTTCTTCTACTTTCTGGGAAGCTGAGGAAGGAATAAAATAATTGTGAGGCTTTCTTGTGAAAAACGACATGGCATCCCATCCTTACCGACTGGTTCATGGTGAAGTACTGGCATAGGTGAGCAAATGCCGAAGGTCTCTCCCCACCTCCTTGCCTGTTACACAGATTGCTGTCTGTGTTCATTTTTGATGGACTTAGACTTTGCGGGAGATGATTATATTCTGGACTAATGTTTTCCGTCAGATCATTTGGACTTGTATCCTTTATTGGGGTCCAGGAATGGCCAAGCACCTTGCTGCACTCTGGAGAGCAAGCCAAGACGGAAAACCACAGTGTGATTGCCATCATGCAGACAGATTATTCCAGCAGAATTCTGGCAGTTCCGTTTATGCACACACATGTACGTCGACCGGATCGTAAATATAAGTCTGTAGAAAAGATCTTTATACACCACTTGATGTATTGTTCTGTTTTGAGCTTAGTAGGAATCATGAAGTTAGAAGGAAATCAGACGTCACTTCCTGAGATGTCGCTTCTATTCTTCTATGGGCAGTTTATCTTAACAAAGGTCAAACCATTTCAACATGGTTAGAGATGTCCTTTGTGCCATTCATTACGCAGCTGCTTCTTCTCCACCTGCATTTGGAAAGGAAATGTCTTCCTTTCCTCCCCACTAGTTTCCATGTTAAGAGGACAGGTTATGGAACACCCTGACTGCCCATGCCAGGGTGGCCCCTCGGTAGTGGAAGGGAGGGCTGGCCATCTCAGCAGTGCCTAAAAGTAGGGACTCAGGTGGATTCAGAAGGGCTCCCCATCCTGTGAAGGAATCCACACCTTTCCTTTCACCATAATGTATCATGCTACATCCTTGTCAATAATCTGTACAAAAAATATTTTAGGGCACCGACGGCTCTCTGTCTTCATCAGAACTCAACATAAATTGGCTGGGGATCAGGCTAACCTCAGGGTGAGGATTAGCACAAATGTAATCAGGGGTTAGGGTCCTGATATGACAAAAAGACATACAGAGACCCTTCCTCCCAGGACACAGAGTAGCCACAATCCCTGTTCTGGGCAGACGGTGACAGACGGTGTAGCAAAAAGTGTGCAGCGGGATCGTTCCCCCACTCCAACTGGGATGCAAATCAGCATAAAGAAGCACCCACCTGCAGAGGGGTCTGTGAAACACTGGCGGGGAAAGAGAAGCCCATGCAGAATTGGGAGGGTGAGACTTAAGGGATAGATGACCAAACCGGACAGTTGCCAGCTGCTGAAGGTTTGAAAGGCTCTAAAAAGTCAGTAGAAAAGAGAGACTGCCAGAGAACAAATGGACTGCAGCTTGGCTAGGAGGCTGTAACATATGGGGGAAGCTGGGCTGCCCTGTCTTCCCTATGGGTACATGAAACTATTTGTGTTATGCCAAATTGCCAAACTGCCTTTGAATATATATTTTTACAAAGTCTTTTGGCTTTTTGAAACTGCACTCCTAAGATTTGCTGGCTAGCTATTAGTATGGATCAAGGTATGAAATATTGTTGGGCAGTTGCAAAACCCAGGAAAATTGAGGGATTCCCCCCCCCCCGGGTACCCTACTTGCCTCTAATAAGCCCTAGAACCAGCCACACCAGTTGGGTAAGAAAGTGGGAGAATATATGCTGACGAAAGCCTCTCGACCCAAGTCTGCCACCAGCAAGAAATGAGAACCATCCTTGAGGGTCCGCTGGTAGAGCAGTGGCTCCCAGCAGAGAAGGGAACGGACGGTGGTCTGGCTGCCCACCTGTTCCACTGAGAGGGAGCAGGGCCGTTTCCCAGCCGAACCACAGTTCATACCCATCTCTAGGTCCTGGTCTTGAATCCCGGATGCTCTTGGACTACAGCTGCCAGAAATCCTGGCCAGCACAGCTAGGGGTAAAGGGTTCTGGGAGTTTGAGACCAAGAATCACAGAATCATGAAGTCGGAAGGGGCCTCCAAGGGCATAGAGTCTGTCCCACGACGCAATGCAGGAACACAAAACAAAGATATCTGCCAGGTGGTTGTCTTAAATTTCTCTCAAAGGCCTCCAGTGTTGCCTCCCAGAGTAGACCTTTGGTCTAGATGGGCGGGATAGAAATCCAACAGTAAATAAATAAAATATAAATCCCGTCCCTAATGACAAATTTCACATTCAGTACACATCACCCCTTGGATTTCTATGTGAGCTCAACGTATCCGATTACACTGTCTGTTTGTGCCATCCCACAAATATTGTTCATGGATGTCATTTTGCAGCTGACCGTTGTGCTGTGAACCACTGAAAGAACACAGACTGCTCGTGGTTACATTTTCATACTAACTTTTCCAGGTTGCTATAGCTTTGAGTCAGTCATATCAGATGATGTAAAGATCGGGATGATATCCTTAGGATGGCATGTTAGAACATAGCTTTAAGATGGGACAGAATGCTGGCAGACGCGCAGCAGGATGACAAAAGCCACTTCATTTGCCATTTCAGATAGCTGTTTCCACTGTAACTTACACATCTGCTGCCATCAGCACCTACAAATACACCCAGCAGAGCAAGATGTTGCCTACACCTTCGTTAACTGATGTTCACCTGTGACCGGACTATTGTGATGCCAAGCACTTTTTAACTTTCCCCAATCTAAACATTTGGAAGAGAATTTCCTTCTTCTCTCTCTTACCACAGTCGCAAGACAGACAACCCTGCAACCATCCCACACGGACACAAGGAGAATGTGGGAACCCAACTCCAAAGAAACTGGGTTATAATCAAGGAAAAATTAAAACAAGTATAGCAGCTTAGAGCGAGTTTCCTTGGCTTCTTTGCCGTCTGTCCCTTCTGCAGCTGACTGTCTAGGAAAAGTCAGTATTCTGAACATTGTTTTTTTCTCTTTTTAGCACTCCAACTTGAGGGTAGTGGAATTTTGTATTTTGTATTATTTTTAAGATATAAAAATATAAAAATAAAGTGACACTACACAAGAAAAAAATCCCAGAAGCTGGCTCCTTTTTTTCATCAGTTAAGCACTTCTCAGCGTTCCGTGATTTCCCCAGACTATTTCCCATGAACATGAAAAACCTGAAAGAGGCTGTCCAAAATGTTGTTACCAGTGCGCCGAGGACACCCAACTCCATCGGCTTTTTAAGATCTCCCAGAAAGCCCTTCTCTCAGTCTCCCAGGCCCCAGTGTGTGGCCACCCATGTCCGGAGGTGTCACGACCTGTCATGACATATTACGTCATGAACTGACTTGCGTTGGGAATGCTTTACAGCAATCATGATGCAACATAATCCATTGTATGTTATGTTACATGACATGTCATGCTGAGCTTAACATGTCACGACTTGTGTGTCATGACGTAGCTTGAGTCATGACATGACCCAGATTGTTGTGACATTGCTGAACAGGTCTGGACATCACCTTTCTTGTTGTGACATGTCTTGGTTTGTCATGACAGGGTAACACAGCATTCACAAAGTGACACAACACAAGAGAAAATCCTAGGCTGATGCCCAGTTTCAAAGTTATAATTATTTGTTTGGGTCCCCCCCCCTCAGTTTTCAAACTACCTTATAGCACGCTGTATTGTGCTGTTGCACAATACCTATTCCTATAGATGCTTGTGCAGTCAGACTAGGAAACGTGAGCTCTAACACTGAATTGTTTGTTATTCGCTCTCTCTTCAACAGGAGCAGAACTCCCTGTGCTTGTTGAAGGAAGAGTGAGACAGAAATGAAGTAAAATAAATAAATGAAAATCACATCACACAGGCCATATAAATCTTCAGTGGAAGCAAACATTTTGGAGAGACAGTGACTTCCTTTGCAAAAGTATCCAGAGACTTCAAATGAATGAAATGAAGAATGTTTGTTATGTGGCCTGGGTTGCTTGTTATAAAGGGACTAGATTCCCCACCCCACCCCCAAAATTCAATTTATTGGAGTTAAGAAACCAGAATCTGTAACATAATTCCTCCAATGATTTAATCCAGTGGTTCTTAACCTTGGGTTACTCAAGTGTTTTTGGACTGCAACTCCCAAAAGCCTTCACCACCAGCTGTGCTGGCTGGGATTTCTGGGAGTTGCAGTTCAAAAACACCTGAGCAACCCAAGGTTAAGAACCACTGATTAATCTACCCCTTTTGTAGAGAAATAAATTAAAGCATTGTACTGTTTCAGAAAGCAGCACAGTCAGCTAAGTGTGGTAAAACTAAGCCTTCTAGGAACACAAAAGCAAACTGTTTCAAGGCAATTATATATTACAATTATATAGTTTGGATATAAATAAGGTAAAATAAACCAATCCATACTAGTCACATGTGAAGTCTATCAATAAGGAGGAGGAGAGAAAGTGGCTTGTGTTGATTTGGCCTTCGATGGCTCATTTTCCATGGAAGTCTCAATCACAGCTCAATCACTTAGGAAGTCTGTAGTCCCAAACTATTCCCATACCAGCATGGCGCTCAAGCCTCTTACACTAATTCCAGGGAAGCAAATATGCTTCCCCAACCGTGGCAAAGACAGCAACTACAATCATCTGCCCTGAACAGAGCCAAGGATGACTAATCTTGGGAGCTGCCCTTTAACAACGCCAGGGGGAGCTCAGATTCGCCATCCTTGGGACTCTACAAGGAGTGATGAGCTCTTCAGGATCCCAAAAGAGAGGCTTTTTGCTAGCTCCATCTGGGATCGTCAGGCACGGAACAGCTACTTCGGAATACAAAACAGCTGTTTCCCCAATGGACTATTCCTGCAGGTATTGGACAGCAGTTTCCACAGAATTATTAACAGCAGTTTCACAGTTGCCTTAATTTTTTTACATGAAGAAATGTGTTCTCACTTGTATTTTTCTCCCAAGGTATTTCCCCCTCCTCCCTCTCCCAAAACTCAGAGGCAAATAGGTATTCCTGGAAATGGATGAGCTGTGAAACTTCTCCCCCTCCCTTTTGGGATGGGGCAGGTCTCCTTCCAGAACTGTTTGCAACTTGTAGACCAACCTCAGCGACACTGCGGACCAGGCCTATGGCCTGGAGACCTGACAAAACAGACACGGCACATGAACCAAATAGTGACGTTACAACCCAAAGCGTTATGCCATCTGTGGTTACCAGGACATATATATTCTTCACTTTAAAACTTTATAAAACTTTATAAAACCCATAAAGACTCCTCGAAATGCACGTGTATCAAAGCAAATTAAAAATAGGGTGATGCACGTTAGGTATTTACCATCATTATCAGAAAGACTCAGAATTCAGGGGAAATGGTTCAGCCAATGAAGGTGCTTCATAGTACTGCCGGGGCCTCGGCATGTCAAGTCTAGGGCTGCAATTTCTCTGGCCTCTGAAGGATGCTTTCTTCAGTGGTGGCCAAAGTGGTGAACTGCAACTCTCCCCAGCTCTCCCGGATAGAGCCAAGAAGGCAGAACGCTAGTGTCACAGTCTAGAAAGTTTTGGATGGCTGCATGTTGCATCCCTTTACTTTAACTGCAGAAAATGGAGAGTGAAGTTGGAACTTCTTCACAAAAGCAACTGCTTTGTCACTATCCTCCTTGAGTATTGATCAAGCTCAGGCAGATCAGTATCAGAAACACCCCCCCCCCCCCCCCCCGAGTAAAGCACAATTAACATCAATTAAAACAGACCTGGTAGTCCTGTTACCTTTAGAGTTTTGTAGTAAATGGTTCTGTTGATCTCCAAAGGGAAGAGATTCTGTTCTTTCCCTGAACGAGCCCAGTTCACATAGCGCAGCCAATTCCCCTTCTCTGGGTCCGTCGCATCAACACACATCCAACCCAAGTTTGGATAGTATACCTGGGAAAACCAAAGAGAGAGAACCAGGGACAGAGGAGGAGAGAGATTAAGCCGCAAAGCAGACTTAGGCCTCGTCTGTTCCAAAAAGGGGGCACTTCATATGCTTGTAACTGTTCGGATTTGAAGCCAGGAAAGGAACACATCCCAGGACGATCCCTCTGAGATTAAAAATGGTCCCACGGTGGCTCTCCTCCCACTCATTTCCATGGATTTGTTACAAGAGCGTTAGAACATGAAATGACAAATTCATGTTCTAGACTTCTAGCCGCTGAAAACATTATTGCTAGCCATCAAGGAAGAAATCAGGGCAAGGTCTCCCCAGGCCAGGATGAGCCCCCCCACAGCTGTTTTTGTTCCCATTTCACTCAGTCATTTGCCCCCAATTCTCGCAGGCGATGATCACATTAGGTCCCTGCTTTGCGAACCGTTTGTTTGCAAAATGATGATTTTTCCGGCTCCGCAAAATGGCTTCTCTTCGCAAAATGGCTTCCCTCCCATCGCAAAATGGCTATTTTCCGGACAGAAGGTTCGCAAGACAGCGATTTTAAACAGCTGACCGGCTGTTCTCTATGGGTGATCTTTGCTGGATGAGGAGGTATTTCCCCATTGGAACGCATTAACCGGTTTTCAAAGCATTCCAATGGTTTTTTTTTCGCATGACAACGATTTCGCTGTACAACGATTTTAACAGAACAGATTATCGTCGTCATGAGGGGCACCACTGTACCTCCTACAGGCACAGAAGACCTTACATGCTAATATGAATAGTTCCACAAATGTCTCTGCGGGAACACCATCTGCAGAAGAAGACACACGGTTTGTGCTGGGCTTTCTAGCCATGGCCTTTGGCCGCCTGCTGCTAACCACGTCAATCACGATCTGGCTCGGGTCAGGGTTTGTTTCACAAAACGAAGAGGCCGTAGCAAGCTTCTTTCTCTGTTCTGTCAGAGGGAGCCAAAAAAAGAGCCCATAGCTCATGTGCCTTCTGCCGCCTGACGGCACACCGTGTACTGAGTATACTGGAGCATGGCTACTATGTACAGGGATAATAATCTGCCCTGCCCACGCACTTATGGCCGCCTTTCACGCATCCAGAACATGTGAGGGGAGGATTGGTGTGTAATGTTACAGATAGCAGGTGGTGGCAGAGTTGCTATGGATTTTGGATTTGCCACACTTCCTCTTGTGTTGTGTATGTTTTTGCGTTTCTGCTAAAAAGGTCATCTGAGTTTCCTGTGCACATCCAGCCGGGAGTCCCTAAGCCTCTGCCACTTAAGAGAAAAAGAGAGGAGGGAAAGGGAAGGGAAGGGAAAGAAAGGGAAGGGAAGGGAAGGTTACCCAAGCCCAAGATGAGGTCACGTGAGGTGAGGTCTCCTATAAGGGCTTTCGGTCTCCTGTTGTGTATGCAAAAGGGTTCCAGGCCCATGTCAAGCGCCTCCAGAAAGAGCTGGGGGAAATTCACCCGCTGCTGCCCATCCCTGTCACCCATACTAGGTCAGATGGCTTAGTGGCCTGATTTAGTATCAGGGACTTCCTACATGCCCGGGATCTCACATGGAGTGGTTTTTAAAATGAAGGACTTCATGCATGATGCATGATCTTATCCAAAAAAATACTGAAATTAGTATTTGACTTTTTCTGGCCGTGGGAACCTTGTTATCAGTGTCAATGCTTGTCCTCCATACATGGCTGCCGATCCATTTCCAGGCACAATTCAGACTGCTGTTCCCAAGCGATAAAGCCCTACAGAACTTGGGTCCAAGCAATCTCAAGGGCCGCTCCGCCTTGATGAGCCTGCTCGACTGTCCAGATCATCAGGAGAGGCCATTTCTCGTGGTCCCACCACCTTCACAGGGGCACTTGGTGGGGACCCAGGAGAGGACCTTCTCGGTGGCTGCTCCTTTATACTCTGGAACTCCCTGCCACTGGAGGCCAGGCTGGCCCCATCTTGTCTGTCCTTTTGCAAGCAAGCAGGCCATGGAAGAGACCCCCGGGGTCACTGAGCTGAACCCCCAATGGGGCAGGACAACCACGGCTCAGTTGTCCTCTCCCACGGACGCCTCCCCCCCAAGCCCTGCTTCAACACCTGTAAGGTGAGCCCCTCATTTCGTGGCTTTGCCCTTACCTCCCACATATACACATTGCTCTTCACTTGAGATCTTTTCTTCTTGTCACCAACGAAGGGTCCAAATTTCCTGCCTCTGAAAATTGGTTTTGTTGCCCAGACACCTAAAGGTCAAGCAAAGAACTGAAATGAGCTCACTTTAGATGATAGCAGTGCCACATTTAAAGAAAAAACAGTGCAAATATGAATAAATGGCAAGATCGGCTGCAAACTGGAGAAGAGGCCCATTACACTCACTTGGAATTGCTGAGATTATTTCTAAGGTAGGAATTATACAGATTGGGGGAGGGCTGGGGGGGGGGCTAACAGAGAATTCCACTCCATATACTTTTAGCATGTGCAACTAAAAGTCAAGGCATATACAACAGAAACTTTAGGGGTGCAGAATGAACTTAGGAGCAAAATGAAGGAAATGGTGCCATCCAGAAACCAAAAGATCACTCTTAATTTTCCCCTCCTCTATCTAGCGTAAAAAACGACAAGCAGAGCACTCAGTGGGTTTTTTTTTTAATGAAATGACACCTATGGTGGATGGCAGATGCTATGTGGAATTTCCAGGGAAACTGAACATCATGGCCAAGTATGGCAGTAAAAGCAGAGACCTCACAGTGGTACAATTCTCCTTGTTTTCAGGGTGGGCTAAGTCCCAAGGAGATGGCGCTACAGAGGCCAGAAAAAAAGTTGGCTTCAGTCTTATGCAGCATGCTCCTCACAACACTAAATATCTGTTTATTTACTAATTGCATTTATAGACAGTGCCCTACTGAGAGCTGTCTGGGCAATTCGTACAAGAGAGATAAAACCAATTGTGGTAGAACTGGCAAACGCAGGAGAAAACCAAAGGTCAAGGTAAACTGCAGTTCAAGGATCTAAAGACCCAGTTTGCATAATTTTAAAATTGAGGGAGTAAAAACCTGAGAGAGAGAAAAAAAATGTCATTAGTGCATGCCCTATTCCTGGACCTAGAGGAATTCAGCTAGCACAGGCCATCACTTGGAGGCATTTTTCTGTCTCAGTTACCCTGAAAGCTTTATGGCGTTACCATAAATTGGTTCAGACTTGATGACACCTAAGATAACACTGAAAAGAAGGGCTCCCAGAATGCACCGCCACCTTTTTCCTGGGTCCCTACTTCTCCTGAGTTAGTCACGTCACTGTAAGTGGTCTTGGGACTTCTCTCTGGCTGCTGCCCACCTTTGCCTTCACCATCACCGACTGCCCCTTCTTACCTGAAGCCCATGAGCCATCTTCTCCATCTTTCCCCTTCTCTCCTGGTTCAACTTATTTTTGGTTCCAGGAGGTCTCTTCTTATGTGGTATATTTCGAGATGCACTTACCAAGCCGTGTCTTGTCAACAGCAGACGGAAGGAGTCTCACTTCCTCAGGAAGTCCTTTCAGAACGTGCTCGGGTACACCTGCTAGCGTCTCAACTGATTCGGCAGGCTCGATTGGGTTCTACAAAGACAAGAAAAGCAGGCGCCAACTCGTAAGAACTCCTCAAAAGAACCCATCGACATTCGAAGCAACACAACTCAAACCCCAGAACACCTAAAATAAAGCCGAGCAGCAATGAAACTAGCACTTCAGCATCGCAGAAACACTTAGCGTGAAGGGCACCTCTGAACTTCGAAGCCAGAAAATGAATAATATAAATTCCTTCCCTGATGTATGATCTATCCTACAATCCACTAGATGTGATGGATACCCGTGAGAATAAAAAGCTTTGAAATTGGTCAGACCTAGAGGGTGGGTTGGTTGATTGGTTGGTTTGAAATTTGTTTGTTTAATAACAAATAAATGAGGCAGCCTTTTTCTTAATGACCGGTGGTCTGAGGGCTTTTTTTAATGGCTTGTTGTGCTCTATTGTTTAAAATGTGCTTTGGTATTGATTTTATTTACCGTTTTTAATATCATATTTGTTTAATTCTTGTTCTAATGTTTTTATATAGTTACTGTTTTTAGCTTCTAAGGATTGTCTTTTAATGATGTAAGCTGCCTTTGGTCCTTCTAAGAAGAAATGCAGGATAAAAATAGTTTAAATAAATAAGACATTATTTATAGGCTGCCTTTCTTTAGACAAGGGTCACATCTGTCACCCTTTATTAACCACAGGAAATAAAACAATGTTCTTTTTAAGAGACATGGCATGAAATAAAATGTGCAATTTTATTTCTGTTCCTTACAAGAGACCTTTTATAGCACAGATTATGAAAATCCGCATCTTGGGTTTTATTCTAGCTGAGCCTTCTCTGTTTTTCCAATAGACTTTTGCTCTTGCTTCTCAGCTCCTAGACACCTGTCCTAGAAATATGTACTTAAACTTAAGAACATTTCTCCTTTTCTCCCCTTTCGTCTGCTGCACCTTTACTTTGCTTTATTAAAATTGAAACTTGAATTCTTGGGGCAGAAATGAGTCTTTTCCGTGCAATACAAATTGTCAGTGGTAACCAACAGTTGCATCATTCCATTCAAAAACGAAGGATCCAAAGGATGCCTAGCACAAGAGAAGCACAGGTTGCTTTCATGTACCCATGGAGCGCTGGAATAAACGCTCACAGGTACCGACATACACCTGTGGAGAGCCTCATTCCAAATATTCCAGAACTGAGCATCATTTTGGACCCCTTCCCGCGAGGCATGCTCAAAAGGCAAGGGCTGCCAGTGGCCACGTCCAGTTCTGAATCCACTGCAGTGGAAGAACACCAAAAGCTGACACTCAAGCAGAGAGAAGGGGCGCCGGCTGCCTGAAGACCTGAGAAAGGATGGATGTTACTGCCAATCCATTATGGGGAGAAAGGCAGCATATAAATATGGTAATGTAATAAAATTAATCAATGAATTAAGCAACTTGTCCTCATGTCAAAGCAGGCTAGGGTGGTTGGGAAAAAGACAGACGGAAAAGAAAATGTATTTGCTCCAACAGATGTCAGCAGAAGACCATAAAGACTTTGGGTCCCCAACCTTGGGCCTCCAGATGTTCTTGGACTACAACTCCCAGGAGCCTTCACCACCACCTGTGCTGGCCAGGATTTCTGGGAGTTGAAGTCCAAGAACATCTGGAGGCCCAAGGCTGGGGACCCCTGTAGCTAGTGGGCAGATTTTGCAAGTAAAATTGTAAGACGTTTTCCTTGAGCAATTCTTGTAAACCTGCATGTTATTTATTTTTAAGACAGTTTTCAACAGCATAGGTAGTTATTTAGACTCAAGTTATACTTCCGTATGGGGACACTGGCAGGACATGAAAACAAGAATCAGTACCTACGTATATAGGTTTATTCCAGACAGTGTAAGCATGCTTTTGTTATCTAGTTCAGCGGTCCCCAACCTTGGGCCTCCAGATGTTCTTAGACTTCAACTCCCAGAAATCCTGGCCAGCAGAGGTGGTAGTGAAGGCTTCTGGGAGTTGTAGTCCGAGAACATCTGGAAGCCCAAGGTTGGGCACCACTGATCTAGTTGATAGCCACTGCAATTGCACAGTGCTAATATATATTTGTCAGAATTAATGCTTACAAGCACTTTTCATCAACAAAGATATACTAACAGACACTAGTAGAGATCAGTTCAAAATATTGTAAATAACCCTCGCACTTACAGCCAGTTTCACTGGTTGAATACACTGTGCAAGAAATAGTATAAATGTAGCTCTTTTTCATTGAAGAGAAGAAAGCTGCAACAGTTATTACAAGAGTATCCAGAAGACTTCTTTTTAAAGTACTATGCAATATTTAAATTTCACAGGAATAAAAAAAAACCCTTCACTGTAAAGAGGAACGGCTGCTATGGGACAGGCTTCTCTGGCCCCTTGGCGTCTGTATGCCCTCTGGGTGTGTGTCGCAGCTGAGGGAGAGACCATGCGCTGGACGTGGGGTGGCATCTGCTCTAGCATGGCGGCTTATCTGGTGGCGCTAGAGGAACGTAGAGTGCAGTCAGCCAGAAGTATCTTGCTCCTCAACACAGCCTGTCCTGGGTGCTAAAAGCTACAGCTGGGCGACTCCCTGGGTACAGCCAATTTGGAGTTGCACACATTTCACAAACCTCTGGGAAGAAACCGGCTGTGTTTGCTGCAACCCTTGCTCCTGATCTGGAGTGACATGGAAAAAGAAACAACCCTTGTCTTGGATAAGGGGGGCCATTTTGATGGGGACCAAACATCCCCCCCTCTTGCACTACTCCAAGACCTGAAACGGCTCCCATATACCCTGAAACGGGAGGGGTAAGATTAAAACAGAATGTCACCAGACATCCACTTCTTATTTGATTTTCTTTTACATGATCGAGGGTTTCTAGGTGCGGGGGAACCTCCAAAACCTTGAAGTCAAAAACTGAATGCCTCCAGGAACAGAAAAAAAATAACACACATACACAGCCAGATTTTGCTATCTTTTTCATCTTTAGGGGATTGTGGGGGTTTGCAGGAACTCAAAAACAGACCCCTCATGACAATTTTCTACTGAGAACAACAAGGCTGTGAACGCAGTCACAGATAGAGAACCTGTTACTGTACGGATCAGAGGCAGAACCAAAAGCGATGAAAGAGGGAGCAATGGAGGCTGGGGTGGATTCCACACCCAAAAACAGGAGTCAGCACAACTTTTGTCTAGCTTTCACCCGTTGGATAAAGTGGACGTGACTCTCCAATGATAACTCTGAGAGGGGTTTACAACTCACTAGCCAGACAATGGTAACTATGTCAACGTCGATCCCTTTCTCCTTTAATCCTGGTATGTGGGTCCACCCCAGGCTACAGTGAATATCTGAAAGGGGCAGAATCTCATTGCTCTGAGGATCTCCTGTCCTTTACACAAGATGTGCCGAGCAGAAGTAGCTGCACTGAAGGGGACATTTGGAAGATCCACAGTCCCAAGCTCCTGACAAAAGATAAACCTAGAGACAGAACATGCAACAAGATGGCCTACGTATGAGTCTGGTACTGGTGATTTCCCCAAGATCACCATCTCCCAAAAAGAAGCCGACAGACATCATATATGTTTGCTGACTCCTAACAGAGCACAGCAGAGGAACAGAAATCAGGTGGACCCCAGAGAAGGAGTGACCAGGAGTTTGAAAGGAGAACAGCAGTAAAGGAAGGGTCTAGTGGAAGAAGAGACAAAAGAAAAGGCAGACCAAGGAGACAAAGGTAAGGTAAAGGTTCCCCTTGACATTTAGTCCAGTTGTGTCCGACTCTAGGGCATGGTGCTCATCCCCGTCTCCAAGCTGTAGAGCCGGAGTTTGTCTGAAGACCGTTTCCGTGGTCACGTGGCCAGCGCGACTAGACACAGAACGCCATTACCTTCCCACCGAGGTGGTACCTATTTTTCTACTCGCATGTTTACATGCTTTCGAATGGCTAGGTTGGCAGGAGGTGGGACAAGCAACGGGAGTTCACTCCGTCACACGGATTCGATTTTACGACGGCTGGTCTTCTGACCTTGCAAGCACAGAGGCTTCTGCGGTTTAACCCGCAGCGCCACCACGGTCCTGAGACAAAGGTAGAGGGTTATAAATTCATGGACTTTCCCAGCATCCTTCAGGACAGAAAAGGCAAAGCAAAAGACACTCATCGACGATCAGAAGAAAGTAAAAAGTAACAGGAATCATGGAGGGAAGAGACAGTTCAGTTGAGGTGCAATGTTTGTCTTCATGTGTAAGAACAACACAGCACACACGTGCAGCAAGTGCAAATTGGTAGCACTACTGGAAGAAAGCGAAAGAACTGGAGCAAAAAGCGGCCACACTTCAGGTTACAAGAAAAGATGAAGCGCCCATGGACAGAACTCTTGAGCAGCAGCCGCGGCCACCAAAGAAGGCCCTGGAGGTGGAAGGTCAGAGAAGCAAAGCAGAGGAGGAGAATGTTGAGGAGGAGACAAACACAGTGGGGAGGAAGAGCCATGGAAAAGAGTCCCAGTGAGGATCAAAAGAAGAAGAAGAAGACCCTCTTCACCCGTGGAACTGGAAAACCACCATCCGATTCGTGAAGAGGAGTCTGGCAGGCAGCAGGCAGAAGAAGACCCACGGGAGACTCCGTAGGAGGACACGAGAGCCAAGTAAAGTCACGGAATCCACGCCCTACAGAAAGAAGAGTAGTTGTAGAAGGAGACTCCCTATTATATGGAACTGAATTCATGAAGACCCACAGATCGGCCAGGTATGCTGTCTCCCTGGATGATGGATCAAGGATGTGACGGAAGGATTGCCATCACCTATTAAACGTACGGATGCATTTCCCTTTCTTCTCATTAACGTGAGAACAAATGACACAGTCAAGAGGAACTATGGAGAAATAACATCAGACTTTGAGGACGTTGGAAAGAAACACAAGGATTTCAGGATCTAGACAGTCTTCTCAGTCATCTCAATGGACAACAAAAGCAACAGCAGCAGCAGCAGCACCATGATGATTCCCTCCATGGGCACAGGCCTTGTTGAGGTGGAGGGGCTTGCCCGCTTCAGTGAGG